GTCACATGAAGAGACAAGGGTATGGGAGAGATGTGTGGAGGATTTATGGACCAGATCCGCTGGTCCTCATCCTTGCATACATCACTGGTGCTCACATTCCATTGGAGTTAGAACCGAGTCCTATATCACTTCTCATTCGAAGAGATATTGGGCATATGACTGCTCAGACATTGGGAAAAAAAAGTGAATAAAGTATTTTGGGGACTTCCCTGGAGGTACAGTGGTTAAGACTCTGGGTTCCCAATGCAGTGGTATGGATTAATCCCTGGTCAGCTGAGATCTCAAATGCTACACCGCTTGGCCAAAAAAAAAAAAAGAATTTTGGTGGACAGTTTCTAAAAAGGAAAAAAAAAAAAAATCCCTGGGGGAATATGCATATAAGAGTGGTTTTCTCTGGAGCTGAGATTGCAGCAGACATTTACTTTTTATACTATGTAATTTTGAAGTGCTTGCATTTTTTTATAATAAGCATGTGTTACTATTATAATCAGAAACTAAAAAGCAAATCCAGGATGGAGAGAATTAAAAAAAAAATTTTGACTACATAAAAGGTGAAACTACTTACTGATACATTCTTAATAAAAATGGAAACCAATCTAAATTTCCATCACAGGAGAATGGGGAGATAGATGATGGTATAATCATATAATGGATTATTAGTGAGCAGGAAAATTTAATGAATAATTCCTACACACAACAATGTGGTGGAATCTTTAATGAAAAAGTCATACAAGAATAAATAAATAAGAAAAAATCACACAAGATTATCTGCTGTATTTATCATTTTCATTAAGCCCACATTTATGTGGTAAAAACTGTATTTTAAAGTTTTATTTTGAAAACACTTTTTAAAAAGTAGCAAAGAGGGCATCATGAACCCCCAGAGAACATAATTTTGGGGCTTCCCTGGCGGCTCCGGGGTGAAGAATCCGCCTGCCAGTGCGGGAGACGTGTGTTCGATCCCTGGTCCAGAAGGACCCCAGGTGCCTAGAGGCAAGCAGGCCGGTGGGTCACACCTACTGAGCCTGTGCTCTGAAGCGAGGGAGCCGCAGCTGCTGAAGCCGCTCGGGCCCACGCCCTGCAACAGAAGCCCGCACAGCACGCCTGGAGAGGGGCACCCACTCGCCACAGCCAGAGAAAGCCCGGCAGCAGTGAAGACCCAGTACAGCCCAAAGTAAACGTAAACTAATACAGTTAAAAAGAACATGACTCCGATTCAACAAGGATTCATATTTTGCCATATTTGTCTAATCCGTCTTTTTTTCTTGGTGCAGTATTTTGAGGCAAATCCCACATTTGTCTGTCTATTTCTACTGAACTTTAGTAGGCATGTAGTCAATATATTTAGAGACATTTTCTTACATTGTAACAATACCATGATGACATCAACAAGTTAGCAGTCATTCTTTGGTATTATCTCAGTCCATAATTGATTGTCTCCTTATTTCAAAAAAATTACTTTTAATAAGCTGATTCGTTTGAATTATGATCTAAATGGTTCAAGTGTTTACTTCTGGTTGTCTTGCCTCTAGGACTCCTAATCTGAGGTAGCTCCTCTCTCATTCTTTTTTATTTTTTTAATTTTCATTGGAGAATAGTTGATTTACAAACTTATATTAGTTTCGGGTATACAGCAAAGTGAGTCAGTTATACTCCCCTCTCCCCCCCTTTTTTTTTCATGTTTTGACTTGTTGCAGAAACTGATTCAGTTGTCCCTGCCAAGTGTCCCAAATTCTGGATTTGTCTGTTGCTCGCCTGTGATGACCTTTCACGTACCCTTCTATCACCTAGGGCTTCCCTGATAGCTCAGTTGGTCAAGAATCTGCCTGCAATGCTGGAGACCCTGGTTCAATTCCTGGGTCGGGAAGATCCCCTGGAGAAGGGATAGGCTACCCACTCCAGTACTCTTGCGCTTCACTTGTGGCTCAGCTGGTAAAGAATCTACCTGCAATTCGGGAGACCTGGGTTAGATCCCTGAGTTGGGAAGATCCCCTGGAGAAGAGAAAAGCTACCCACTCCAGTATTCTGGCCTGGAGAATTCCATGGACTGTGGAGACCATGGGGTTGGAGTCAAACACGACTGAGAGAATTTCACTTTCACTTTTCTATCACCTGTGTGTGTGTGTGTGTGTGTGTCTGTGTCTGTGTGTGTGTGTGTCTGTGTGTGTGTGTCTGTGTATGTGTGTGTCTGTGTGTGTATATGTGTGTGTGTGTGCGCGCGCGCTCAGTCGTGTCTGAATCTTTGCGATCCTAAGGACTATAGCCTGCCAGGCTCCTCTGTCTATGGAATTTTCCAGGCAAGAACACTAGAGTGGGTCACCATTACCTACTCGGGGAGATCTTTCCGATCCTGGGATCAAAGGAGAGTCTTTTGTGTCTCCTGCATTGTAGGCAGATTCTTCACCACTGTGCAACCTGGGAAGGCCTTATCACCTACATCTCCTCTAAATAAACTTTGTCCTAGAGGCCTGGTAAAAGTCAGGCTTGACTTTTTTGAGGTTGGTACTGTGAGTGTCACACTGCATGACATCTGGAAATGTGATGTTCAGGTAGGTTGTTCTGATTTCAGCAATGCGGAGATTTATCTGTGGTTCAGGTAAATCAGCCTGATCCCTCCATGGTAAAGTTTCCTATTGTCACCTTATCTAATGCTTTTATACATTTGTGACCATTGACAGTATCAATTATTTCACTAGAAATTGCAAAATGCTGTCTTTCTAATCCTATCTTTCCTTCCACATTTATTGGCTGAAATGCACAATCCTGAGTTTCTAATTTCATTATTCCTTCCATATGTATTTACAGGAAGTCTGCTGCAAATAACTTTCCCTCACCAACTGGAGGTATTTGGTTACCCCAAAATACAGTTTATACAGGAAAGGCAAGAGAAGAGAGAAATCTTCATTAATATTGTCCACTGACATATCCTAAGTGTTGGTATGTTGTCTGGAATATATAGGACACTCAATAAATATTTTCTAATTGAATGGGAATCCATATATTGGAATACGATGTGCCTCTGAAAAGAATGAAGAAAATGTACATCTATCTGTATTGACATAATACTTATAAATAATGTTGAGTGTAAAAAGTGGGAGATAGAAAAATAGGTATAGGATGAGTCAATTTTTATAAAATATATATATTCTCAATGTAGCAAAAATAGGATTAGTGGATGAATGTGATAAAACAAACAATAAAATGCTAATTGTTGAGTTTGGATAGTGATTATATGAATTTTCCCTGTTGAATCTATTTAGTTTTTTGTTATGAAAAGGTTCATTGCAAAATGTTAGAAAAAGATATGTGTGTAAAAATCTGTATTTCTGAAGGGTGGGTTTGGGGATAAGGATGAAACTTTATATAGAGCAAAACTTTTAAACTATCTTTTGACATAGTAATTCCGCTTTTAGGAACCTATCCTAATATAGTAATTCTAAATATTAAAAAAAGTAGAAAAATTTTTCACGTTGAAAATATTTTATAATAAAATGTGGAAATATCTTGAATAATAATAGAATGATCACATTATGGTACAGTAATTAGGTTCGTTATAAATGATAAAAATAATGTAGTAAATTGAAAGTACTTATGGGGACTTCCGTAGTGGTCCAGTGCTTAAGACTCCGGGCTTCCACTGCAGTGAGACATGGGCTCCATCTCTGGCCAAGAAAATAAGATCCTACACACCCCATGGCAGCAGCCAAAACAAACAAATGAACAAAGAAACATGGTGATACAAAATTTTACCAAAATGACACCAATGATTTTTTAAATGGTGTACATAAATCACATAGCATTATTATATGACTCCAAAATTCCATGCTTGGATAGGTATCCAAAAAAATGAGAACATAAGTCTACAGAAAAACTTGTATATCGAAACAGAAAGTAAATTAATAGTACCAAGACCTGGTCGGGTGAGGGAAAACAGGGAGTGATTATTCTAATGGGTATAGGGTTTCTTTGGGGGATGATGAAAGTATTCTAAAATTGATTGTGGGGATGGTTGTACAATTCTGCAAATATACCAAAAGCCATTGAACTGTACACTTTAAATGAATAAATTGTATGGTATGTGAATTATATCTCAATAAAACTTATAAAAAATGTTAATGGTAACACATGGAAAAGAAAGTTGGAAGGAAAAAATGTGTTTGAGGAGGTAGGATTATGGGTGATTAAATTCTACTTTCCTGTATGTTCCAGTTGTTATTCATATGTGTCATTTGTACAAGGAGATAAGCTGTTTTAAAAAGCACAAGATGTAGAGAAGGAAATGGCAACCCACTCCAGTATTCTTGCCTGGAGAATGCCATGGATAGAGGAGCCTGGTGGGCTACAGTCCCCGGGTCGAAAAGAGTGGGGCAGGACTGAGCGAGAAAAAAAAAGCACAAGATGTACTTTTCAGAGTGCTATTTTACTATAAATAATCAGTGTGACAACTATTCCTCTTGCTTATTTGCAGGTTGTGGGTTTTATGTTTATCATATTTTTTAACCCTCTATTTATTTAATTTTTGGTCTAGCCTATGCAAGGCTGTGGGATCTTATTTCCCTGACAGGGATGGAACTGGTGCTCCCTGCACTGGGGGAGCACAGAGTCTTAACCACTAGATCGCCAGAAAAGTCCCTATGATAATATTTTTAATATTAATATATTTTCATAAATAGAACAGATATCACATATCTATTTTTCATTTGAAAAGACCCTGATGCTGGGAAAGATTGAAGGCAGGAGGAGAAGGGGACGACAGAGGATGAGATGGCTGGATGGCATCACCGACTCGATGGACATGGGTTTGAGTAAACTCCGGGAGTTGGTGATGGACAGGGAGGCCTGGC